ATGCTATTGGCTAATGGAATACAATGGGAAGGCGAATTGCTAGCGAAAGTAAGCAGACCGTACGTGGCGGGCCTAAACCCGCTAAAGTAGGTCTGCATAGGAGACTAGTTTTCCATATGACTCCGTGTTTTCCATATTTTTCTCTGACGTCAGACTCCGTGTTTTCCATATGACTCCGTGTTTTCCATATTTTTATGACGTCAGACTCCGGGACTCCGACTCCGGGACTCCGGGGCTCCGGGACTCCGGAACTCCGACTCCGTGTTTTCCATCTAACCTATTAAAATGTATATATGAACAATAATACAAAGCATTAGCGGGACGCACAAAATATTACTCGGAAAAATATAGAATTCTTCAAATATTAAATAGATATCAATACACATACAAATATAAAGCCGAATAAAATACTACCATTGGCATTGAATGTACTGTAATACTTGTACTATGTGAGACTGAAAGAACAATGTTCTGAATATTTGAAGCTATTACTAAAATACGGTCAGATAGATTGGGATTTGGAATACCGAATACGTCTAAAACTTTACTAACTGTGGTCTAAATAAATTATAAATGAGCATGTATTTATTAATTTCTTCGAAATCACGAGTGTGCCAATAGTAGAAGCATATATAGTGGTGGAAGCCGTATCGACGACGAAATTGTCAGCAGTTAAAAACAGTAAATAGTACAGCGTTTAATGTATACGATATATATTTATATCTAAATGACATGCCAGCGAGGATCAACAATATAATTATTCGTACATATTTGGGTATCTTTTGTATACCTTCGCTTGCCGACTTGCTCACGGGACTAGCTAACAGTCGTGGGTCGTGGGTAAGAAGTCGTAGGTCGTGGGTAAAAAGTCGTGGGTCGTGGGTAAAAAGTCGTGGGTCGTGGGTAAAAAGTCGTGGGTCGTGGGTAAAAAGTCGTGGGTAAAAAGGCGTGGGTCGTGGGTTAAAAGGCGTGGGTCGTGGGTTAAAAGGCGTGGGTCGTGGGTTAAAAGGCGTGGGTCGTGGGTTAAAAGGCGTGGGTCGTGGGTTAAAAGGCGTGGGTCGCGGGTTAAAAGGCGTGGGTCGTGGGTTAAAAGGCGTGGGTCCCGAGTACAAAGTCGTGAGTTGCAAGCAAAGTATTTCCATACATTTACCTTTCTACCTTTCTTTGGAATGCGTGTTTTTTTTTCTTCTGAGGCTTTCCCAAACTATGCCCAAATATGCTAGTCTTAGAGCGCGTTAAGGCCGGGTTTTTGTTATCGGCAGATCGGTTTAAAAATATTATAACCAAGTGTGGATGAAACAGTTCAACTTCGCGAAACAGTTCAACTCATCTTATAGACAGATAAATTAGTTACTGCAATTCTTCAATAAGAATATGGCTCAAGGCCACATGTACGAAAGCTGAGTAGCACTAGCCACTATCCACTCGATATTGTAGTCCAATTTTTATAACCGGCAATGGCATCATATGTTTTCAGAGCTATATATGGAACTGCGGAGTATAGCTAACCATTTAATTAATGAAATAATATGACATTTGACTTATATATGGTCTTCATGTATAT